CCTTTTGGCTCATGTTGAAAACACACTGAGAGACCTCAGGACTCATGTGCGAAGAACTTGGATGTACAGAGTTTGGACTCTTCGTTGGGGAGCCTGGGACGGACAAAGATCTCGAGCAATGAGTATCAAGCATCCGTCGCGTAGGATGTTGCGAAGCAAAGTCGGAGAACACTGGGCTGCTAGCAGCACAGTGTCATTCAAAAGCTCCCCCATGCTGCGTGCCTCATTCATTCTCTTGTCCTGGAACTCCGGATGGCCACCCGAGACCTTCTCCTGCCATGAGAAGTCGCGTGCACAGGGAGGCGAGGGTGGAGCTGTAATGACCCAATCATGTCGAAGTAGGGTCTATATTTCTTGTAAAAACGGACACCCAATGTCTGCCGATATGAAAAAGGAACCTTAGATACACTCGCCAAGAACAGTAATGTGAGCCCTGCTTCGGGTTCTCCAGGAGGATGCGAGTGTTGCGAGCGCTCAAAGTCGAGCTAATCAGGTGAAGCCACAGCACGCACCAGCACTGGAAAACTGATGTCAATTTTGAACCCAGCGCACGGTCATTTACGAAGCACGCGGCAAGATCAGATCCATACATTGCTGGGTTACTTCGATACTGCCTGTGCCTGCGGGCCCTTCACAACAAAACGTCTCTTGCTATGTTCATCATTCATGCATCTTGCATTCACACATTGGTTCTGAGCCTGGGCTAAAAAATCAGCTGGCATGACGCTGAGGCAGCGCACCAACACGCTGTTGACGGCAAAGACCTCAGCGCATCTCGTGTCTGCCCGCGGCGTGCCGATGATCTCATGGGCATGATGCTGCTGGCTACAAGCCGAAACCACATCCCAATGTGGGGGGGTCTCCGAAAATACGGGTACTTATTTGGGGCCCTCATTGTAAAGGATCCTACTATTTGTGGATCAATATTCAGGGTCCCGTATTTTCGTAAACCCCCGTCTTCCAAGAATCGTCACCCCCTGACAACTAAGCGTTACTCACGTCCTTGCCCCGCTGACCCGATGATGGTGCTACAAAATGCTACAAGCCAGCCTGCGAAGGTCTCCCGACCAACAATGCTGTGCGCCTTTCAAGCACGAAGTGTCTACTAGATGCAGCGAGTCTGCTGGTTGTGCGACACGAAAGGACGAAGTGTGACCACAATTGAACACGTGAACTTACTCAACGTCGTCCGGTGGCTCTGCAATTCGGCTTGTGCGCTTGTTCCACAACACCTTGTAGCGAAAGCCATCGACGATGCCCGGAAGAGAAGCATCTCAACCTTTGGTTTCTCGGGGAGTTACACAATGTTGCAAGCGCTTGGCTGTCTTTCCAGTGCTGGGGTCAGTTCCCACAGCACGCGGTCTCAACCGAACAGAATAGGAGATGCAACCCTTGCTCTCAGATTCGACTCAGAAGCTGCATTGTGTTTCATTGTGTTTGCCAGATCAGATTCTAACGATTGTCTCTCGGCGACTGCGTCATGTTTGCAAGCCTCTTTTTGTCATGCCCCACCTTGAGCCTTGAGCCGAGTGCAAGACGAAGACGCGGCAAGTTGGACTCACAAGCAGCCCTTGAAGATGCTTGCCAGCATCTTTTTCTTTCGGCACGCGCTCGCCGCGGAGCTGCCTGAACAGAGTCTGAACAGAAGGTTGGCGGGATGTGAACACTCGCGCCCACGGCAAAATCGGATCTCTTTTCCGAAAGGCCTGTCGGCCGCACCCCCTTGCAGCTTCGCCCGCCATTTCGCGCATGGAGGTGGGAACTCCTCGAGACTCAAGCTGCCCTGGTAAACATACCTTGGCGCCGAGTGGACTCACTTTCATGCAGAGGTTCAGGTTGAAAATCACGTGTGCCTTTGTCACTCTTGTCTAGTGCATTGTGATCTATGTTCAGGTTGAGCTCCTCTGAGGGCATTTTTGCACGTGCCTCGTGGAGGCTTTGGGAGACGGGCTGGTGCTGCTTAAAACTCAACAGCAATGCTCAACTTTACAGTCGGCCCAAGTTGAATTCTGCACGCTGACATACAAGTAGGTTCCCCTTCGCTCTGCTCTTCAACATGTCGACACAAACTTGGTCCTTTCGAAAAACAGGTGCACTTGCGAGGCTTTTTGGGGGGTAAAGGGCGGCTCGCAAGTGAAAGCATGAACACAAGCTACCAGATTCAGGAGATCGCAGAACCAGACCAATGAAGCAAGATTATAACTTCCCAACCATCCCTGGGCCTCGCCTCAAAGGCTCGCCCGGCACGCCCGGCTCGCCCGGCAAGATGACCCTCCAACCTGTAGGGGCCGTAGCAACTTTCATGGCTACTTTCATCTGCTCTTTCCCTTCAGCATCGTGGCGAAAAACCGCTCAGGACCCGAGCCAAACAGACCCCAGGGGAGCGGTAGGTGCCTCCGACAATAGCTGATGAAGCTTGACAAGGCTGTGCAAAAAGCAAGCCGTGAGCGAATTCGCGGCCATTGCCTGGCCTCCGGCAGTCGCTTGCGGCCATCTGCACCACCAATGGACCTGGAAAGCCACTCATGCTTCGTTACTTACCAAACACTTTTGCAAGAAAGATTCAAAATTGGATTGACAGCTGGGCATTGTCATTGTGACATGCCACGTCCACCATGTCGTCTCTGTGACAACGTCTCCGCTTACTTCTCTCAAGGCCCGCTTCTTCCTGCTCACACCTTGCGTTTATGATGTGAAGCGAGTTCCATGCAGCAAGGGGGTCTTTGGATTTACAAGTTCTTTGCTCCGGTTTGCTCTGCTTCCCCTTTGCCCCCTGTCGTCGTCGTACGTCTTCTGCCTTTGGCATCCCCGTGCTCTTTGCTGCTGCGGCACCGCAATCCGTAGCTCACGGCAACCAGGGCCCGCTTGATCCAGCTTGTCGACGATCTGCAAGCGCGTCGAAGCTACGAACACTCCCATCCGACCCCATCTTTTTCGAGACACAGACTCCCCAGATGAGCCAAGAACGCGGCCGTGTGGCTCTCACAATTCGTAGCTCGGCAAGCAACTCCCGTCCGAAGCCTCCCAGGCGATTCACAAAACGAAAACACTCGCCCATACCCAGCAGGCACCCTGAGATGTGCCTTCGTCAACCGCTGCCACGAGGCGGAGCTCGTCCTGCCTGTCCAGGCCAGTTGTGTGTCAGCACTGGGTCAGGAGACGTGCTACAGCTAAAAGCTCAATCGTTTTCCTGGAACAATAAAGCGGACATCAACATTGATGGTGTCAGAACTATCAGTGGGGAATGCAAAAAACCGGAAGGGGGGATTTGATGAGAGGGTTTACTGTAGGATGTTGGGTGAGTCTGTGAGCGTGACGACTATCCGAGGGCAGGCCGGCATAGGCCGGCAGCATTTCTAAAATCAGGCCATCCGTTTTCCTTGGTCATGAGAATCAGCAAGCAGCGGTGCAAACAAGTACTGGCACGTAGATAAATCGTTGCCTGCATTCTCACTAAAATGCTTAAGTAAGCAGCCTGAGATCCTTCACGCAGGTCCACCCTTGTTGTCGTCCCCTCGCCTTTCCGTCGATGTGGCTGAGGTCTGGAGGCGGCGGTGTCGAAACGACGGGGGCCGCCAGGTACCCAGCAAAGCTGAGCGGGAGCACTTAGGAGCATCAAACCATGAAGCTGTCACAACGCTCATCAACGCTCTCCGAAAACGGCAATTCAAATCGTGGCGCTATCCGTGCTCCGGTGCTCCCTCAAAAGCACCTCTGAGTGCTTGCTGCGTCGGGCGCTGTAGCCTGCGGATGATGGCACGGTCTCCTGCACACCGTTCGAACACGTTGGCATTGCAAACAATCTCTTCATATGGTTTGCAGGCATGCTCAACGAAGCGCCAATGGTAGGTTTCAGTGCATACACTGCAGACACTTGAACATTCTGCCTGCCTCATGTGCTGTAGATTGCGCACCATTCGCGGAGAATGCGCAACAGCATCAAGCTCATGAAAAGATCATCAGAAGCTCATCGCCTCTGTCCCAGGGCCCGTCGGAAAGCCGGTGCCTCGACTGGCTTACGTCAAACTGATGGAGGGGGAGAAGAGGATGTGAGTGCTATTCGTTAGTAGAAAACAGCACTACGGCATCACATGGGGCCACAATGGGCCACACCCCCACGTCACATCCTACGAAACTTTCCAGATAGTGAGCTCATGCGCACTTCCGGTGCCAGGTCACGTCTCACAGAGCTGTGCGCAGAGCGCCACGCCGCGCGCCGCATCCAAGGCAGCGGCCCGCCGAGCACTGGGAGCAGGCGCCTTGCAAGGCCATAGTGCGCAGGAAGACAGGACACATGCGCACAGGACCCCATGCGATACACACAGTACGACTCTTGGCTCTGAGCGCTATACCATGGCCCATTTCAACAGCTCGCGCCTCACAAGACGCTCTGGCCGCTCTCGCCCTAATATGTATCACCTATAGAGTGTCTCAGACACATTGACACAGCCCCCTGCATTTGCCCGACATTGCCCGACCACACAGAAGGGCTTAGTGGCTTGGTGCCCTGGCCACCCTCTGGCCACCCTGGCCTCATCAAAAGCACCGCACTGTGCAAAGCTGGCAGCGGCGCTCCCGCAGCCTCAGTGCTGTGTGAGCTGCGGTGTGAACTGCAGCAGTGACATGAACTGACCTGAAATCACATGACAACCGACCCTGCGGCGCCTCACAGCTGCGAAAAGTCGCGGCTGCTCCCATGGAATCGCCCAGCTCAATCTGCAGAGGATGGGGTACTTGAGAAGGGGGCCACGAAGCGCGCAGCATGGGCGCGATGAATGTGCAAGGAGGAAGTCTTGGTTTCTCCAGGTACCACTTCTCAGCTCTCCAGCTCTTGACGGAACAATACGGAGCATCGAGGTCAGCCGTGTCTGTACATAGCTGTCAAGCCCCGTAACGACCCGCAGTGCCCGACGCTTTGGCCGGCCTTCGGCCAGGCCGCTTGTGGGCCGGTCTACATCTCTGGCTCCCCAGGTTGACCCTCGCTTTACGCTTGGTACCTTTTAGGCGATGCCTCCTCGACGCGAATGGATGGAATGGACGAAGCCTGAAAGGGTGAGCGGAGTGAGCGGAGTGAGAGACTTCTCTTCCGGCAGAAGGCTGCCTGCCTGGCACTCAGAGGGCAGCCGCGTCCGGAGGGGATCAACTTCTACTGCTTTCTTCGCAAGACCATCTTCAGTCGACACTTCCCTAACGGGCATATAAATGCCACGAGCACGGGAATCAAAGTTGCCTTGACCTTCTCCTCTGGCAACCAGCTGTTTCCACCCGGAGACCACGGTCAAAATCACCCAAGCTGTGCAGCCTGCAAGCTGCCACCGCCACTGGCCTGGAACGGCCAGAAAGGCAGGACAAGGAGTTCCATCAGCCCGCTTGCCTTTCGCGTGACACTGGATCCCAGCAAGCAAAGCACCCAAGGCCACAAAGGCTGCATAGCTGACCAGAAGTGCAAGGGCCAGTATGGGTCGACCAGCACGGTGTGACGAGACTGCCAGAAGCGCACAAACGCCATGCCACACCAGTGCCTGTGTTCCGGCTGGCCCTAACAGTACCACGGCATCAAGAGACCAGACACCCTGCTGTGGCAAGCCTGGCAAGGAAACCACGTGAGAGAGCAAGCTGCCCAAACCGGAAACCACAAGGTAGCTTCCGAACAGCGGCGCAACAGTGGACAGAAGTGCTCTCCTGCAGGCGAGCAGAACCCAGGTGCCGAGAATAGCGCCAGAGCAATACCACAGCAATGCAATCCCAGGAATGTTGGCATCAACAGTGCGTGCCCAATCTGAACAATAAGCAGCAGCAACGAAGCCAACAAAGCTGCCGACCAGAACTTGAGAGCCTTCGAACCCAATGTGCATGGCCATGGCCACAGTGCTGGTAGTTGCAAGCATTAGCAGGAGCTCTGCAAAGAGGTTTGGTGCCATGTTCTTGTGCACTGCCTCAAAATGGACCAACCATGCAGCACCCAAGGAGGACGCTGTGATGACAAGTACCTGCCAAACACGTGGACCGTCCCACGCACAAAGAAGGCCCACTATTATTGCGCCCACGGCAATACCTGCTTGGTGAGGGCTCTTCGCCAGCCACGTACTCACGTGCGACGCATACGTCAAGACAGGAGACTTCCGTACCTGGCTGTGAAATTGATAGACGTCCTGGCAGGGGAAGCCCAAGCCGGACCCGTTATCCAACCCAGAAGCTTCGGTCGCAACATTCGCTCGATTTGCGGACGTCGTGGTGGCCTCCAAGTCTTTTGCTTTTCGCCTCATGTCACTGGTGCTTTCAGGCATGTGCGGCATGGGAGGTCCACGTGGCACCACCTTCAGGGCAGGCTTCGCCAAAGATGCCCGAAAGCCATGGAGACACGCGGCGAAATACCAGGCTCCGAATCTCATGGCTTCGTCAGCGGCATCGGCATCTGTGGCACATTGTGGCACAGGCCTCGAGACTAAGCGCTCGTAAGGGACATATCAGCTGCATCAAGAAAGGGTCTTGTTTAGGCTTTTGGGACGGGCCCTGCAGCTAGGAAACATGACAATTCACACGATGCGCATCCGAAACCAGCTGGGCGCTAAAGAATAGCAGAACTGGCAATACGTTCTCTCAGCTCCAGCTTCAGTGCTCGAGCCAGGAGACATCACGCAATCATGTCACCAAGGCTGTCTGTCTAGGAGTCTAGGAACTTAGGATCACTGCGGTCCGGTACTTGCTAGGGCAAACAAAAACAAGAGAACTGCCTGCCTTGATTACATAAAACTTAATATAGTGTAAATACATATGTTTGTCATCCCGAATCGGGGTTCGCCACTCCCCCACCTCCCCACGTCCCCCCTGACACTCCCCCCACCCCCCCTAAACTAAGACCTGAAAGCCTAAACTATCCTAAAGGAACCCTACCAAACCAAAAAGCCTTGAAAAGCCTAAACCCTAAAAACCCTGGAGCCCCAAAAACTAAACCCTGAAACCCTCTTAACCCTAGAAACCCTACAACCACCATTGCAGGCCTTTGTATGCTGTATATACATCTGCAGTACTGACACGATTCAGCGCTACCATATCGCGCAGGCATTGGCAGAAGCATCATGCGCTGTCAAGCCTGGCCGGCTCTCTGTGGCGCAAGGGCTCCTGGTGCCAGACGCCTGTCGGATGAAAGCTACGTACGTGAAAGCAAGAAGTACAGCTCTGACACAACTACGACCACGGCCAGAAACCTCTGCTTCGGGACATTGACCGACCAACATCCCAAATCATTGTCGAAACGCGAGATGCATCAAGTGCAAACGCCAAGCCCCTAGAAAGCTGCTAAACTGTCTAAGCATTATGCCGCATGCCTCTGTTCAGCAATGTCACTGGAACGTCCCAAAGGCCCCAAGCTCAACGGGCTTTCATCTCCCGATTCTGACCTCTCCTCCATGTGGCCAAGGAGCTGAGTGGCCTCAGCGTGATGGAATTGCTCAAGCTGGCAAACATAGCAAACGAAGATCGACGCTGCGATCGCATGTGGTGCACGCTTAGCAGCAGCAATCATGGAGCATGCGGCAAGGGGCCCGGCAAGGGGCCCGGCAAGATTCGGTTTTTCTGAACACACCATCTTTCTCGGGAGTAGCCGAATGCGCTGCCCTCTCAAGCGGTGCTTCTGCGTGGCGGCCATGTGAATTAGCCACCCTTGAAACAGATTGACCATTCGGTCGCAAAGCGCAACTGCAGAACCAAACTTTTCGAGACTCAACCACCAGAATAGTGAATAGTGAGTGCATATGTCGCTTGTCACACTTATTAGCATCAAAATGTTGTGTATGAGAGGCGTTCCACAAGGCGAACCGCAAGACCCGGCCATCTGCGGCATGGACCATCGGATGACTCGGGTGCGTCCAGCTCCGTTGCACATCGGATTTCTGCTGGAACAAGTTGCACCAGCTTGCATTTGACGGAGCAGTAATGCAAAGAACACGCTTGTGGTGTGGAAGTGGTGCGCTCATGCTTCTCCACCGGCCTCTCCAGCGCTCAAGTGGCGTGTTAAATCTTTGTTTTCCATGTCACGCACGTGTCGAACCCCATGGAAATTTTCAATACGAGCAAACCCCCATCTCACAGCGCCTCAAGGGCTGCACAACTCACAGTCTTGAGGTTTGACCCTCCGAATTCGATCGCATACATTCCCCACGATTGCACACACAAGAAACAGTCTCATGACCTGGCCTTGCATGAAATATGCTCCTAGCCAAACCACCTCTAGAACTGGGACACCTGATCGGAAGCCAGAAAGCACCATTGGGAAAAGCGTGATGTCATGGCCCACAATAACAATTTGATGCACAATGCCACAACCTTTCATGAACCAGCTGGTTGCACCACTGACGCCCTAGACAGAAGCTGCATAGTTGCCTTGGCATTGGATGATTTGCACTTTGTGCTGCACAGGAGCCTGCGCCCGAGAGCAGTCTCGTCTTCCAAGCTGGTGTGTCATGGCGGCAAGGAACCTTTGGCAAATCACCCAAACCCCGCTGGACAAGAAACAACACAGACCCACGAACAAAGACCAGTTCTCGATCATGCGGTTCGTCAAGGCACGGCGAACAACTTGCTCTTTGATTACGGCACACGAAACACTTTCAATGCCATGGACTCAACTGGTTCTATGCAGACCCTAACACCATCCCATCCATCTTCCCGGTTAGGCCGCAAACTTCCTCGAAATGATATTTTGAATTTCATGCATGTACATTGATCGCCAAGATACTTGCACCAGATCCGTTGACTAGAACGAGGAAGACGTGGCAATGTGCACAGTCTGGGTTTGACCTGTTCAAACGCCTACCTTGGACATGTGGGCTGCACACGGGTGGCACCAGACCTGCATCACCACAAAGATGCGACTCGACCGCGCCGCCGATGAGCATGAACCTGCTTCCAAATCTGCCTAAAACAGACGCCATGGGTAGCCCAAACGCATGTCAGTGCTACGATCGCAACAGAAACATGATGCGAACAGAAAGGTCAAGTTCAACTCCCAACTCTACATTCACAACAACCACTAGTGACACCAGCGATTTGGAGGCATCACGTCATTGTGGCCCAGCCTGCAGCCCACCATTAGCTCTCCAAACTCATGCTTGACATGTTCATGCAAACCTGCGTGTGCATGTCCCAGCTTCTTTTGTGCTGAGAACGTATACAAACAGCGAAGCCTTCATCGACATTCAGTATGTTCACATACCAAGTACACACTGCACGTGCCATATGCGAAAAAATTGCCTTTGAGACATGAATATCTGTTGAGATGGCTCGGTCGTGGTATGAACAGCAGCAACTTATCGACAACGCTCAGAACGCGAAATGCTCCAAGGCTTGGGCAATGCCACGGTCAAAGATATACACTTCTGGAATCACATGCACACAAACATCCAGGAAAATGAAACCTGCAGCTTTCGCATCTAAACATTGGCAAAACCGGTGTGTTTGCTAAGCACGAGACTGACAAGTAAACCAGGCGTCACTGCAATCAGAAGTAAGTAGTAAGTAGTAAGTGGTAAGTAGTAAGTAGTAAGTAACAAGTAGTAGTAGCAGTAGTAGTAGTAGTAGTAGTAGCAGTAGTAGTAGTAGTAGCAGCAGCAGCAGTAGTAGCAGCAGCAGCAGTGGTAGTAGTAGTAGTAGTAGTCGTAGTAGTAGTAGTAGTAGTAGTAGTAGCAGTAGTAGTAGTAGTAGCAGTAGTAGTAGTAGTAGTAATAGTAGTAGTACAGGGGAGGCCCACACACGCGAAGCCAGAATTGCTTAGATTTTTCGACCCCAGATTTGGAGTCGCGGAAACTGGCAAACATGTGTACAGTACAGGAACGACTTGGTCTCCTAGGACTTGCTGAAAATCAAGCCCCAAAAAACAATCTCGAAACCAAACAAGTTGGCCTGATGTGGCCTTAAACCCACACGGTCTTGCTTTGTTGCGACACGTTTGTGGCCTGTTGTGGCCTGACGTGGCCTGAAAACCACACGTTTGTGGCCTGTTGTGGCCTGACGTGGCCTCAAAAACACACGTTTGTGGCCTGATGTGGCCTCAAAAACACACGTTTGTGGCCTGTTGTGGCCTTGTTGTGGCCTCACGGAGTATTTTTCCCCGGAAAAATGCATTTGTGGCCCCCTATAATACTATTGAAAGGGTCCCCACGCACAGCAGACGTAGGGTAATGAGGCCAGATCCGAAGACCGACCAGAATTTTAATCCAGGTTTTTCCCAAGTCGCTTATCTTCTAAACTGAACATTGTTACAAGTGTTCAAACACAACCTATGCACTGTTCAAAACGCGGCGCCGAAGAAAAGTTGGCAGACATAGAAATCACGTGGGGCCCCATGGCTTCACCACTCATCCGCTGCCCGTCACTGCATCACTTTCTCTCACTCCGTCGTCCTCGCTTCCTCACTCTCTCTCACTCTCACTCTCACTTTCACTCTCACTTTCACTCTCACTCTCACTTTCACTCTCACTTTCACTCTCACTCTCACTTTCATTCTCACTCTCACTCTCACTCTCGCTCTCGCTCTCGCTCTCGCTCTCGCTCTCACTCTCATCCTCACACACTCACAGACACTCTGTCACTCTCTCACACGCAAGCACTTGCTGCTCCAAAACATACGTCTGTTTGGCTCTGGCAAAGACCAGGGTCGATGGTGCTAAATTCAAATGCTGTATAAACAGGTCTGACCCATCAACGGCGCGTTAACTGCCGCAAAAACTGAGATTGGAGACAGCGCCAAAATATGTCCAAGCATGCGCGAATGCACTTGCGGCATCCGTTCACCAGCCCCACAACCTGACCATTGTTAGAACCCCAATGAGGGTGCTCGGCAACAGCTGATTCGCTAGGACGCTAGGAGCACAAGCCGTTTCTGTACAGTAGGTATCCTCGCTGTTCAAAGCCCAAGCCTGCCAAAAGCTTTCATTCTGCAATGTCCGGCAGACGACTCTGCGCAACAGCAGAAAACGTTGAGCCACGTTGGTCAACTTCCCGAGCTTGAAGGGCCTCCTATCCACAGAAAACACCGAAAAAGACCTGCAGCTCAACTGGCGGACCAGCAGAATTGCCAGGACGAAGCCCAAGTTCCGGGGAAGTCGGGCGACCCCGCTTTCAGGGCCGCAAAACACAAGCAATTCTGGCTTCGCGAGGACGGGCCTCCACAGTTGCAGTTCTGCCTCACTGCAGCATTACAAAGACGAGTGTGCAGCTGCTTCGGACAAGCCCCCGTGCGCTCAGCGCGACGCTGCCCAAAGTGACTAGAACAAGGGCAGGTGCGCAGCCAACGAGATCCGGTTGCTTGAGCCCACAGGCTCAAATTCGGTGCCAAAAAATGGGGCCGTCTCGCGGTCCCAAAAATGGTGCCGGCGAAATGGACCCAGCTCCCGCAGCACAATTTCGAACTGAATTGGAGGCGTGAAACCGCGACCCCAAAATTGGGGCCGTTTGGCGACCCCAGTTTTGGGGTCGCGAATTCTTCTATTTTTGGGCTCAATCCCGCGCTTTCCAGACTGCTACACTCAGGCGGGTCTGGCCCACAGACAAGCACTTAACGTGGAAAGATTACTGAGAACCACGACCTCCGAGGGCAGCTTTCTTGTGGAAGCGATCAACATGAAAGAAACGTGCACAGGGGAGGCCCACACACGCGAAGCCAGAATTGCTTAGATTTTTCGACCCCAGATTTGGAGTCGCGTAAACTGGCAAACATGTGTACAGTACAGGAACGACTTGGTCTCCTAGGAATTGCTGAAAATCAAGCCCCAAAAAACAATCTCGAAACCAAACAAGTTGGCCTGATGTGGCCTTAAACCCACACGGTCTTGCTTTGTTGCGACACGTTTGTGGCCTGTTGTGGCCTGACGTGGCCTGAAAACCACACGTTTGTGGCCTGTTGTGGCCTGACGTGGCCTCAAAAACACACGTTTGTGGCCTGATGTGGCCTCAAAAACACACGTTTGTGGCCTGTTGTGGCCTTGTTGTGGCCTCACGGAGTATTTTTCCCCGGAAAAATGCATTTGTGGCCCCCTATAATACTATTGAAAGGGTCCCCACGCACAGCAGACGTAGGGTAATGAGGCCAGATCCGAAGACCGACCAGAATTTTAATCCAGGTTTTTTCCCAAGTCGCTTATCTTCTAAACTGAACATTGTTACAAGTGTTCAAACACGACCTATGCACTGTTCAAAACGCGGCGCCGAAAAAAAGTTGGCAGACATAGAAATCACGTGGGGCCCCATGGCTTCACCATCCGCTGCCCGTCACTGCATCACTTTCTCTCACTCCGTCGTCCTCGCTTCCTCACTCTCTCTCACTCTCACTCTCACTTTCACTCTCACTTTCACTCTCACTCTCACTTTCACTCTCACTTTCACTCTCACTCTCACTTTCATTCTCACTCTCACTCTCACTCTCGCTCTCGCTCTCGCTCTCGCTCTCACTCTCATCCTCACACACTCACAGACACTCTGTCACTCTCTCACACGCAAGCACTTGCTGCTCCAAAACATACGTCTGTTTGGCTCTGGCAAAGACCAGGGTCGATGGTGCTAAATTCAAAATGCTGTATAGACAGGTCTGACCCATCAACGGCGCGTTAACTGCCGCAAAAACTGAGATTGGAGACAGCGCCAAAATATGTCCAAGCATGCGCGAATGCACTTGTGGCATCCGTTCACCAGCCCCACAACCTGACCATTGTTAGAACCCCAATGAGGGTGCTCGGCAACAGCTGATTCGCTAGGACGCTAGGAGCACAAGCCGTTTCTGTACAGTAGGTATCCTCGCTGTTCAAAGCCCAAGCCTGCCAAAAGCTTTCATTCTGCAATGTCCGGCAGACGACTCTGCGCAACAGCAGAAAACGTTGAGCCACGTTGGTCAACTTCCCGAGCTCTGCAGCTCAACTGGCGGACCAGCAGAATTGCCAGGACGAAGCCCAATCCGGGGAAGTCGGGCGACCCCGCTTTCAGGGCCGCAAAACACAAGCAATTCTGGCTTCGCGAGGACGGGCCTCCACAGTTGCAGTTCTGCCTCACTGCAGCATTACAAAGACGAGTGTGCAGCTGCTTCGGACAAGCCCCCGTGCGCTCAGCGCGACGCTGCCCAAAGTGACTAGAACAAGGGCAGGTGCGCAGCCAACGAGATCCGGTTGTTCGCTGCAAGTTCAAGCCACACTACCAAAGCTAACAAAAGCCTAGAGGAAATCTTAAGTCTAAGCGAGCACTGTACCACGAGCTCTCCCACTTTTTGACTTTGCCGGAAATGCCGCTCAGAGTTCAAAGCAGAATGCAAAGCAGATGATGCGTACTAAGTCTGAAGCGCAGAGAACCAACGCAAAGCAAGTGTAAAAGGAGATACCGCACTAAGTCTGAAGCATAACTGCCAACAAAACAAAGGGAGAGCATCACCGCGCTTCTCGTGAAACTGAGTGAAGCGATGTAAGCGCCTGGCTGTATGAAGGTCCGACCCGCCCCAACAAAGAAGGAACGTGCCTTCAAAGAGGGAGTGGTGGGTGGGTCAAAAGTAAAGCTAGCCAGCATTGCACTGATTCGGTGTGTGGCTTGAACCAAAAACGACAAAGTACGGTGATCTTTCTCAAACAGCAAACAGTTATGAGTAAACACATGACCCGTTCGCTGCAAGTTCAAGCCACACTACCAAAGCTAACAAAAGCCTAGAGGAAATCTTCAGTCTAAGCGAGCACTGTACCACGAGCTCTCCCACTTTTTGACTTTGCCGGAAATGCCGCTCAGAGTTCAAAGCAGAATGCAAAGCAGATGATGCGTACTAAGTCTGAAGCGCAGAGAACCAACTTTCAAACTGGCAAAGTCAAAGCTCGCCGGGCCTACCTACCCCATTTCTAAGTGAGCGCAGACTATGCCAGGCTCTCACACATCAGAGCTCAGGAAAGTGATTATGGCGGCTGCCATTTGAGCTTGGCATCTGGAGGCCAAAGGCGCACATCGGAACGAAAGTGCCAGATGCGTGCGAGGCTGCAGTCCACACGAAAGTCCGGAAGGAACTTGGCAGGCAAGGGCTGGGACTCGTCACTCCAGCGGGAGAGCAAATCTGCATCGTCATTCTTTTCGCCGGGTACGTGGAACACGTCGAGCTCAATGCCAGTCATGCACGCCAACATTGACAAGCGTTTCAGAAACACTGACAAAGGAAAGGCCGAGCTGTAGAGCTTATTGATGCCTGCCTCTGCGCCTGTGTTGTCGGACCAAGTGTGGAGACGGACTGTCCAGCGTGCCAAGGGCACCACGGAATGGAGACAAAGAATGAGGCCAAGCTGTGCCAACGTCTCGTAACATGTGATGTCCTGGTGAGCTGGCACCTGCAAAGGCACACCCAGTGAGGACAGGTCTGGGACACGCCAGGACTGGCTGAACCACGAAATTTGGCGTGAAGGCCATTCGATAAAACCCCCTATCCCGACAAGGTCCCCATCCGCGCGGGCGTCGGCGGCGGCGCAGACAATGGGAACATCTGCAGGTTTCTGCAAGGGAAAGAAGAGGGGTGGAACCTCGCACCACTTAAGCCAGAACTGAAGGCTCTCACGGCTGGAAACTGAAAGCTTGCGGCGAGTGGTGGAGGGGTCCGTCACTCTCATCCAAATGCGTTTCGAGGTGGGAATTTTGGCCAGGTCTTTCTTAGACCGCAAGGCCAAGTGCCTGGCTTCAATGAGTTTAGCGCCTGTCGGAATGCTCGTGCCCGGCGGTGTGGAGGTGAAGACAAGCCCCTCGTTAACACAAATGGCCAAGCCGGGCCAATCGCCAGGATCAATGCTGTAGTTGGTGGCCAATGGACGGTTCGCATCAGCGTACAGGGTCTGCAACCAGGGCTTGAAATGCTTGTACAACTTGCAAAACCACTGCAGCAACCCGGTGACCTTGTCCAGGGTCCGTTTCGAGACATGGCGACCCTGTAAGGCTTCCTGCAACAGGCGCTTTAACTTCTGGACTTTCTCAACCGGAATAGAGAAAGTGCCAGAGCCAAAGGAAAAGTGCCAGCCTATCCAATGGATACAGCTGCCAAGCTGTAACTTGGCATTGGATAGCTGCCAAAACAAGAGGGCCGTTTGCAAAGCGCACGGCGTGCCCCAGAAGCGTCCTGTGCCTCAAGCTCAAAAAGTATTGTCCATTCATTGCGAACGACAGCCCCACAAGCCGTCTTAAACGCCCTTCCCTGCCAGCATGCTTGCGACATAGCAACGTCGCAGTCGACCGCTCTATGTACGGTCTTAGCTGAAGCCAAGAAAATGCCAGGATGCAGATCTGGCGACTTCTCCAAAGGTGCAGATGCGGCCTGAGACATTGTTTCTCTAGACGCTGAAGTTGACTGGCTGGGTACCAAAGGAAGAGCTGCTGCTGTCAGGGGGTCCGCACTGTGCTCAGAGAAACCTCCCCGAAAGCGCCGGGGGACATCCAGTCCAGAAGTCGTAAGACCTTCCCTAACCAAAAGCTGCGGCTCTGCCATCGGCGACTGGGCTCCGCGGTGCTGGGAAATGCTGGGACGAAAAGTGCCAGTGCGAATCTTGCCAAGGATCGAGGCCTGAAGGGCTAGGGCCGCGTGCGTGTCATCTCGACCGTAAAGAGTGACTGAGGTGGTGCGGTGATGTCCCTGCTCACGGCGTGCCATGTCGCCAAGGCCAAGCTGCGAACACCAGGACAAGACTGTCGCCTTGCAAGAATGCAAAGTGAAATTGCGAGACGCATCGTACCCTAAGCGACCCCACATGCTCAAGGCTGAACGCAGACAACGCAGTGCCGATGCATAAGACGCGGGGCAAAATGCGAAGTCGCAAGCGTCATCCAGAAGCGATGAGCAGAAAAAGAGGGAGTCAGGAACCACATTGGGGGAGAGTTGTTCCAAAGAACCCCACAAGGCATCCAGGAGCTGGAGCCAGCCAATACCCCAAGAGCCGTATATGCCCTCTGCGTAGAAAGCAAAAGCCATGCCACGCCGAGATGTTTTTGTACGATAGGCAAGGCCACGAATGACTAAAGCTTGAGGGTCAAACAGAAGAGCTGACCAGGATACGTGGGAAGCGTCCCCAAAGCGCAGCGAGGACCATATACATACCAATGCAGAGCCGGCAAAAAGGGCAAGTTCAGGAGCAGAAAGAGGATCAAGCACGACCGACTCAAGAAAGGCGACAAAGTCCAAGGGAAGTGGCATGGCTTCAGCACGATCTGAAGATGGCTGAGCAGACAAAGCTCTGAACAGGCCTGAGTGTAGAGGTCTGGGAAGTGAAGGGTCACAGTTTTCACCAACCAACGCAGTGCCTTCAGGGTGTTGAGTGGAAAAACCAAAGCAATCTGTTCCCGGTCCAGAGAAAAGTCATCGTCCTGAGAACGGCTGCAGTGTAAAGCGTAGACTGTCTCAACTGCGGCAAGTTGGGAGAGATTGTCCAAGGAGTGCCCGAGGTCGATAAGAAATTCGAAATAGGCCAAACAAGCTTTGACATAGCGTAAAGCGGTTGTGTCCGCGTTGAGCTGCAAAAGATTCAATGTCAAAGCAGGGCCATTAGGTGATCCCTGAAGTTGCCGCAGTACCGAACTGTGAGGGCCAATGATGTCTACCAAAGAACGCCAGAGCAACAAAATGGCATCCCAGGCCTCAGAGTGCAAGGTGCGCTGAAGAACAACCCCTCCCAAATTGGAGGCAATCGCGGCGGCCTCAGGGCAGAGTGCGGGGATGTGATCACCTGACTTCAATGCTGCAGGTCCCTTTGGGGAAGGGCGGACAAAAGAAAAACGACAAGGGGGTTCAGCTTCTGAGACGGTCCGTGCCCCTTCCTGAAGTGGAGCGAAAACCTGCGTGCCGTAAGCTTCTGAGGGGTAAGTTGAGTATGCGCGGGCAGACTGATAGATCGGCGACGGCAGATGCGCCTCCGACGGCAGGCAAGCCCGATGTATATTAAGCCTAGTGGGGGCTGGCAAAGGCGTTGCACTAGGAACCAAAGCAACCGAGGGCCTAGTCCTAGGGGAGAGAGTCCGATTAGGTGCCGGCAAAGGATGCGACTTTGATGCCGGGCATTCCAGGATCGTCCCGGGATGCAAAGAGGCTACGACCGACCAGGAACCTGAGGCAGCTGATGATTTGGGAGTTGCAGTCGTGGCAAAAGATTGCGAACACACAGGTGAAGGGAAGTGTTCGCTTGGCACACTCTCCCCCAAAGTTTGATCGAAATTTGAAACAGCAACAATCAAATCGCTAGCCGCGGCACGCCCTGGACCCAAAGGGTTATTCCTATACCGTTTGACCCTGACCGGCGAGAAAGCCGAAGCGTCATGCTCTGCGTGATGTCCAGAGTGTGGCTCAATGGGGTCAACTGGCACAATTGAAGCATGCGGTGCTGGGTCAGTGGACATCTCAAAGCCCAAAGAAAAATTAAGGATGACTTCGGGGAGTGGTACGGAGTGCCCAAAGATGATCTGCACGATCAACTGGAACGGAATGTAGTCCGTAAAGAGCTCGGGAACCCAGGTGGATGTCAAAGCAAGACTGTTGGGTTTGGACCCGTGAAGCTTTATCTGCCAAATCCCAAACCGAAGTCCAAAGTAATTTGCGCAAGGCCAAGTCCTCGAGATCACTGGTGTGATACCCGAGAGGAAGCCAGCCGAAGCCAGACGACATCCGCGTCCCCAAAGGAACGCTTGCACACCGCCTAATGCGGAAAGGAATTACCTAAAATTGCATGGCAAAGATAAGCTGCGTCAAATGACAAATGTCTAGCTCAAATGTCTTGCTTAGCGAAGCAATGTTCACATGTTCACATGTTCAAGCTCAAAAGTAAAGCTAGCCAGCATTGCCCTGCTTCGGTGTGTGGCTTGAACCAAAAACGACAAAGTACGGTGATCTTTCTCAAACAGCAAACAGTTATGAGTAAACACATGACCCGCTTGAGCCCACAGGCTCAAATTCGGTGCCAAAAAATGGGGCCGTCTCGCGGTCCCAAAAATGGTGCCGGCGAAATGGACCCAGCTCCCGCAGCACAATTTCGAACTGAATTGGGGGCGTGAAACCGCGACCCCAAAATTGGGGCCGTTTGGCGACCCCAGTTTTGGGGTCGCGAATTCTTCTATTTTTGGGCTCAATCCCGCGCTTTCCAGACTGCTACACTCAGGCGGGTCTGGCCCACAGACAAGCACTTAACGTGGAAAGATTACTGAGAACCACGACCTCCGAGGGCAGCTTTCTTGTGGAAGCGATCAACATGAAAGAAACGTGCACAGGGGAGGCCCACACACGCGAAGCCAGAATTGCTTAGATTTTTCGACCCCAGATTTGGAGTCGCGTAAACTGGCAAACATGTGTACAGTACAGGAACGACTTGGTCTCCTAGGACTTGCTGAAAATCAAGCCCCAAAAAACAATCTCGAAACCAAACAAGTTGGCCTGATGTGGCCTTAAACCCACACGGTCTTGCTTTGTTGCGACACGTTTGTGGCCTGTTGTGGCCTGACGTGGCCTGAAAACCACACGTTTGTGGCCAGTTGTGGCCTGACGTGGCCTCAAAAACACACGTTTGTGGCCTGTTGTGGCCTTGTTGTGGCCTCACGGAGTATTTTTCCCCGGAAAAATGCATTTGTGGCCCCCTATAATACTATTGAAAGGGTCCCCACGCACAGCAGACGTAGGGTAATGAAATTTTAATCCAGGTTTTTTCCCAAGTCGCTTATCTTCTAAACTGAACATTGTTACAAGTGTTCAAACACGACCTATGCACTGTTCAAAACGCGGCGCCGAAGAAAAGTTGGCAGACATAGAAATCACGTGGGGCCCCATGGCTTCACCACTCCTCCGCTGCCCGTCACTGCATCACTTTCTCTCACTCCGTCGTCCTCGCTTCCTCACTCTCACTCTCACTCTCACTCTCACTTTCACTCTCACTTTCACTCTCACTCTCACTTTCACTCTCACTTTCACTCTCACTCTCACTTTCATTCTCACTCTCACTCTCACTCTCGCTCTCGCTCTCGCTCTCGCTCTCACTCTCATCCTCACACACTCACAGACACTCTGTCACTCTCTCACACGCAAGCACTTGCTGCTCCAAAACATACGTCTGTTTGGCTCTGGCAAAGACCAGGGTCGATGGTGCTAAATTCAAAATGCTGTATAGACAGGTCTGACCCATCAACGGCGCGTTAACTGCCGCAAAAACTGAGATTGGAGACAGCGCCAAAATATGTCCAAGCATGCGCGAATGCACTTGTGGCATCCGTTCACCAGCCCCACAACCTGACCATTGTTAGAACCCCAATGAGGGTGCTCGGCAACAGCTGATTCGCTAGGACGCTAGGAGCACAAGCCGTTTCTGTACAGTAGGTATCCTCGCTGTTCAAAGCCCAAGCCTGCCAAAAGCTTTCATTCTGCAATGTCCGGCAGACGACTCTGCGCAACAGCAGAAAACGTTGAGCCACGTTGGTCAACTTCCCGAGCTTGAAGGGCCTCCTATCCACAGAAAACACCGACAAAGACCTGCAGCTCAACTGGCGGACCAGCAGAATTGCCAGGACGAAGCCCAAGTTCCGGGGAAGTCGGGCGACCCCGCTTTCAGGGCCGCAAAACACAAGCAATTCTGGCTTCGCGAGGACGGGCCTC